TCTTTCGTAAGTATCACAATTATAATACCAGAATGACTTTGACGAGTAACGCCATCTTCATGATGAGGCTCAAAACTTTTCAGACGACCCTCGTACAGACGTTTCGACCCCAATCAGGTCCTCCTCAACGCTAAAAAATAAATTTAAAGTTATCAGTAACTACCCAAGATGTTCAATATATCAAATAGACGCATGATTACTCGCATGTTGGTACTACTAATTATGGTATCAAAACGGCCTAGATTCTCTCGGTTTCATCAGAACTTGTAGCTCGTATGTTCTAGATGTTAAAATTCATAATCAGTCTAAGATGCCGTGAGCTTCATCTTAAATTTACAATTCATTGGCCCAATAAGAATTACAGCAATAACGTTGAAATCATCCTTCACACTCTGATTGTAATTATAATAATTATAAAAAATGTCTGATTAACAATATTGATTGTCATTAATGATACCAATAAAAATTATAATAATTCTGTCATTATGGGTCTATATTTTATAAAAATAAAACTTTTCGAATGTGAAAACCAATAAAAGATAAGTATTCCATACCTGCTAATAATTCGAGGTCACAAAAATTGAAACTATATAATTGCATATAATGATAACACAGTGATATCGAAAGGATCTTAACACTGTCTAACTTAGAGATGTTGTAACGAAACAGAGATTGACGGTCGTGCACGACTTCATGCGATACGATATATACATATATATATACATATACGACAATATAACATACATACAATATAAGAAAACATAGTCGGCTCAGCACTCCACGCATACTCGTACAGGAGTACAAAGACGCCGTCTCACGTTTGACGGCTACCGCGCGGCATTGATCAAGGCAATACGCGGTGTTTTCGATCTCTCCGAAATCTTATTGCCTTTCACATCAAGCTCGATCTTTAGGAAGTAGCCGCACCAATTAGAGGGAAGTATATCGGTAGAGGGGAAACCCGAAGCCGCGAACTTTCGCGTTTTAGAGTTAGTCGAGTAAAGGCAGCGAGGCAGATCACTTCGTGAGCACGTCATACGTGGACGTTATACGTGAATGCGATAAGTGAACGCGGTACACAATAATACGGGCAATACTAAACATAAGGTGGAGTGACGCGTGTGAGTCCGGCTCTTGCAACGCGAAGCAGAACTTCGACGCGTTGTTGCAAGTGAACACTGGCAGGACTCAGGGAATGTCCCCTAGGCGTTGTCATGCCTATGCGACACAAATCTTCCTCACACGCGACTAATAGATAGAAATACGTTGTGCGGACACGATTAAGCTGTATACATACAGCATATATACGTATTGACGATTATGAAAAATTGTGATACGAAATAAACAGAATAAAAAGCGAAAAGACAGTGTACCAGATGTAATGCGAAAACATTCGGTATATTGGAATGATCCTGCCATCTAACAACAGAAACCGCGCTAGATATGATGTAGGGAGGATCCTAGGAAGGGGTATTCAACAGAGTAGGAAGGAGTTATAAGAGTGGTAGATATATGTCAGGCAGCGGATTTATATCTATTTGTCTATTTAAATCATATTTCTGCTTTTTAATGTAGACCATTGCAGATACAATAGTTTTTTTGTAGTAAGGCTCGTTATCTAAAATTTCAACCTCATCTCATTTAAAATCGTGATTAAACTTAGTACGATGGTCCGAGATAACTGATGGAGAACGCGTTCTCTTGTTAATATTGGGTCGATGTTCTTTTATTCTTGTTAGTAGTCTCCTTTTTATCTGACCGACATAGCTAGCCTCACACTCCACACATTCAACTCTATACACCACACATTGTTTAGAAAAGTGATCTAGAAGGTCCTTACCTCTATGTATGAATTTCTTAAGGGTATTCGGTATAGTGAAAGTCGTCTTGAGATATATGCCCATAGCAATAGGTGTAAAGCTCTCAGAGACGGATTCCACATACGAAATAGAGAAATATTTTTCACTATACTGAATACCCTTAAGAAATTCATACATAAAGGTAAGGACCTTCTGGATCACTTTTCTAAACAATGTGTGGTGTATATACTGTGTTCAACGAGAGAATGACCTCGGTTTGCGCAGAGCGGGCAATGTAACGCTGTACAATGCTATGAAGTACAACGCTGTGAAGTATGCTGTACTGCGCAAAATAGACGAGTTTTCGTCCGATCCGTCATTCTCTCATTGAACGGAGTATAGAGTTGAATATGTGGAGTGTGAGGCTAGCTATGTCGGTCAGACAAAAAGGAGATTATTAACAAGAATAAAAGAACATCGATCCAATATTAACAAGAGAACGGATTCTCAACAACTATCTCTGACCATCGTACTAAGTTTAATCACGATTTTAAATGAGATGAGGTTGAAATTTTAGATAACGAGGCTTACAAAAAAAGAATTATATCTGAAATGGTCCATATTAAAAAGCAGAAATATAGTTTAAATAGACAAATAGATACTGCCTGACATACTACATGGGCTGAAAAGTCCCGGGATTTTTAATGAAAACAAGCGTTTTTTGGGCAAAGTTATATTTATTCCTCAACATAGTTGCCTTCGAGGGCGATACACTTGGTATAGCGATTTTCCAACATTTCGATGCCTTTTCTGTAGTACGAAACGTCCAAGCTTTCGAAATACGCCTCGGTTTCCGCGATGACTTCCTCATTCGATCTGAATCTCTTTTCCTGGAGCCACCACTTGAGGTTTGGGAACAGATAATAGTCGCTGGGGCCCAAGTCTGGAGAATACGGTGGGTGAGCAATCAATTCGAATCGTAATTGGTCCAATTTGGTCATCGCTTTCAAGGACGTGTGTGACGGTGCGTTAACGTGATGGTACAGAACTTTTTTCTTTGCCATATGGGGCCGTTCTTTTGAGATGCCCACAGCCTCAGCTAACTCACGCAACTTCACTTTACGATCACTCGAAACGATTCGATGCACTTGCTTTACGATTTCCGCATTCGTAGCCTCTTTTGGCCTTCCAGAGCGAGGTGCGTTTTCGGTGCTAGTACGACCCATTTTAAATTCACTAAACCACCGATAAACTGTTGTTCTCGAAGGAGCAGATGTGGGATAACATTTCTGCAACCATTGCAATGATTGTTCAGAAGTTTTTCCCATCAAAAAACAATGTTTGATCAAGATGCGATATTCCTGTTTTTCCATTTCTTTTACGAAGGCGAAAGTAGCGTCACTCAAACGACTGTAGCGTCACTCAAACAAATGGATGAAATGTCATGAAACTTCATACATAAACTAGTGACAGATGAGTCTCTCGAAATGAGTCATGTTCATTTTCTAGTGGCGCCACCTATAGAAAAATCCCGGGACTTTTCAGCCCATGTAGTATATCTACCACTCTTACAACCCCTTCCTACTCCGTTGAATTCCCCTTCCTAGGATCCTCTCTACATCACCTAGCGCGGTTTCTGTTGTTAGATGGCAGGATCATTCCAATATACCGAATGTTTTAGCATTACATCTCTAAGTTAGACAGTATTAAGCTCCTTTCGATATCACTGTGTTATCATTACATGCAATTATAAATTTTCAATTTTTGTGACTCCGAATTATTAGCAGGTATGGAATACTTATCTTTTATTGGTTTTCACATTCGAAAAGTTTTATTTTTATAAAATATAGACCCATAATGACAGAATTATTATAATTTTTATTGGTATCATTAATGACAATCAATATTGTTAATCAGACATTTTTTATAATTATTATAATTACAATCAGAGTGTGAAGGATGACTTCAACGTTATTGCTGTAATGCTTATTGGGCCAATGAATTGTAAATTTGAGATGAAGCTCACGGCATCTTGGACTGATTATGAATTTTGACATGTAGAACATACAAGCTACAAGTTCTGAAACCGAGAGAATCTAGACCGTTTTGATGCCATAATTAGTAGTACCAACATGCGAGTAATCATGTGTCTATTTGATATATTGAACATCTTGGGTAGTTACCGGTAACTTTAAATTTATTTTTTAACATTTAGGAGGACCCGATAGGGGTCGAAACGTCTGTATGTATGTGTAAGTTTGCTTACAATAATATTGTTACTCAAATGTTACCCTGAGTTGGTTCTTAGCCTTATTGTGTATTGTTTTAATTTTGTAATTATTGAAACCGTTACTTTTTATTGTTTTCTATTATTTTTAATTTGTGACCGTTAATCATTTATACATTGAGGATACCCAATGTGAGGGGTCGAAACGTTTGTTTTTATATTAAATAACGTTAATTTATACATTAAATAATATGATAAACAAGAACAACCAACTTGTACAAACATTGTTATAAACATTTATACAAATATTTATACAATTATACATCATGTTATAGAATATAACTTGTACACGTGTTGCAATGTTATAAAAAAAGAATTGGAATTGTCATTAATCATTGAAGATAGAGAATGAGTGTTCGAAGAAACTTGAATCTTGTTGTTGAGAAGGATATAGAGATTTTTGTGGATAGCTCAAAAAAAAGATATAAAACCAACCAAAAAGTATAAAAAATAGATAATTTCCTAAATGTTAGATGTTGCATTTTATTTGTTTGAAAAGGTTTTTGTATTGTTTCGTCTGTTACGTTTAAATCATTTAAAATCTATGCACTATCGTTCAGCGTTGTTTTGTACTTGTGATTTAGTTGAGAATCTTGAAATTTCCAACAAATATGTCACAAATTTTATTCTAAAGTAAAATATTAAATGTATTGTACAAGCCACTTGTTTGTGGCATTTAAATTCTTAAAGTGTTCTTATCTTGATAATATTTTCTAATATAAGCTGATTTTCATAATCCGATAACATTCAAAATCATTTTAAGTTTCGGCGTTTCAATCTCGAGACACCATATGATCATTTCATTGATTGAATAGAATGTTAAGATTATCTATGACATGAAACTTCAGACAATCTTATGTATAAGATAAATTATAAATAGCATTAGTCTATCACAATATATTTTCTTTCGACAGAATTGAATCATCGTGTGTCCAACTTAATCAACATGGAAACATGTTTGGCTAATGCTGCAAACTCTGCAGTTACCAGTCCCGCAAATGTCTTTGCGTATTTGATACAAACACTTCTGACAGCGCAATGTAGTTTGAGCGATGGCATTTACCCTCCAGACCGCTCGGAGGAGATTGCGACTTCTAATAGAGAATTCGATTTCGTCATCGTGGGCGGTGGAAGTGCTGGATCCGTATTGGCCAATCGTTTGACTGAAATAGAAAACTGGAAAGTATTGCTGATCGAAGCTGGCGAGAATCCCTCAATACTGAGCGAAGTTCCCGCAGCATTCGTCTCGCAATTACATTCATCAGAGGATTATTCCTATGACGTTGAACCCGAGAAATTTGCCTGCCATGGTAACAAGAACAAGTTGTGCAAATGGTCAAAAGGCAAAGCTCTGGGCGGTAGCTCTACACTAAATGCCATGCTCTACATTTATGGCAGTGAAAAGGATTACAACGAATGGTCCCAAATGGGCAACAAAGACTGGAGTTATGACGAAGTTCTGCCATATTTTAAAAAATCTCAAAGCTGCGGTCATGGACATAATGACGAGTGGAGAAGCAAGTATTGCGGTCATGGCGGACCGTTGAGCATCAGGTATTACAATTATAGCCAACCGAAAATACATGAAACGGTCTTGCAAGCCGCTCGCCAGATGGGCGTACCTATTTTGGATACCATCAACGGTGACAAATTCATCGGATATGGCATAGCTCAAGGAACCTTGGATAAAGGTCATAGAGTGAGCGCTTCAAAAGCTTACTTGTCGCCGATCAAGCATAGGAGCAATCTGTACGTGATGAAGTCGACTCGAGCTGACGCTATTCTTCTGGATAATACTCGAGCAGTTGGAGTACGTATGACTTTGAAAGACGGACGATCAATTGATGTAAAAGCCTCGAAGGAGATAATCTTATCGGCCGGCAGCATCGCCAGTCCGCAACTCTTGATGCTTTCGGGTATTGGACTCGAAAAGCATCTACGCGAAATGGGAATACCTACGATCGTTAATTTACCCGTTGGCAAAAATCTTCAGGATCATGTCATGTGGTACGGCTTATCTTTGACCTTCAAGAATCAGAGCGCGACACCACCGTCACCTACATTTATGCTAGACGCTGCTTACGAGTATTTAATGCACAATCGAGGACCTCTGGTAAATGTCGGTGGCTTCGATCTTATGGGTTTCGTCAACGTACACGATCCGAGCGCTAAATATCCAGACATTCAGTTTATTAACGGTCACATACCACAATGGTACATACCCATGGCGACTACTTTTTATAACGCCCTTAACGTGGACACAAAGATAATTCAAAAGATAACAGAAATTCTAACAGAGGCGGATATGCTCAATTTCTTTTCGATTCTGTTAAAACCGAAGAGCATAGGTGAGATACGGCTACGTAGCAGAAATCCGGCGGATCCTGTTAGGATTTACGCCAACTATTTCTCTGAGCAGGAAGATTTAGATACCATGTTGAAATCGTTAGATTTTCTGAAGAAAATGATTAACACTGAGACATTCAGGCGGCACGAGTTCCGGTTGCATCACATGGACATTCCTGATTGCCGTCATACCAAATCCGACTCCGACGAGTATTGGAAGTGTAACCTGCGACATATGTCGTCTACGATCTTCCATCCTGTTGGAACGACGAAAATGGGTCCTCAAGGCGATCCTACGGCCGTCGTGGATCCTCGTTTAAAGGTTCACGGAGTACAAAGATTAAGGGTCATTGACGCATCTATTATGCCGACCATCACCGGTGGAAATACGAACGCACCAACGATAATGATAGCCGAAAAAGGCGCAGATTTTATTAAGGAGGATTGGGCAGTTACGGACGACAAGAACGAGTTGTAAAAGGAAAGCGAGCCTTAAAATTTCGAAATAAATTTATTTCTCGTGTATTTTCTTCTCGCTTTCATCCTTTTCAATTTCCCGTATCGTATATAAAACCAATTAATTAAGCGTGTTCAAATCAGTTATATTTAACCCTAGTTTGGCATTCACGAATTAAAGTATGCATTTTTGAGATGGTTAGATTTTAAAGATTGGGACCCCAGCGAAAAAATTCTTTTTTATATATAAGGGGAGTACTTATTGTTAGTAGACAACACAATCTCATCTGTTTTTGTTTTCAATACAGAGAGCAATGTAATTATTCCCATTTTGCGATTTGAGCGTGTCGAAAGATAGAGAACAATTGCGTTTTAAGTAAAGAAAATAAATAAAAGTTGCAAGTTATTTATCAAAAATTGTAAATTAATAAAAGATACGTAAGAGTTAGTAATTTTGCCCGACTCATTTGTCATTATGGTGTTTAGTAATTTTTAATAAAATCGAGTTTTATTAAAACAAACTTTATTGCGGTCAAACTGCACTTCAATAAATATATACGAGGCTTTTTTTATTACATTATAGTTTTAATAAGGTATTTAATAAGATATATAATGATTCAATAAAATTGTTTTCAAATTTGTTTTAGTTAAATTTTTAGATAATTCAGTAAAACCATTCTTTCTGTGTACAGCCTATTATCTTATAATGTACACAACAAAAATTAAAATGTTCATGATTATATTTGCAATTTATTTGTAATTTAATATATAAAAAGCTTTTATTATGACTTTTTTCTTTTTGCCCTCTTCTTTTGTCTCATAACATATTTGAAATACGTACATTGAGAAAAAAATGCTGTTGATTCAATTAAAGTCTATATTACGGGCTGTCACTAACATAAGTGATTAATTCATGTATATATTTTATTGACATAAAGGCTTGATTATTGAAATAATAAGTTATGCCTTTATGTCAATAAAAATATACATGAATTAATATCACTTATGTTAATGACAACCCATAATATAGACTTTAATTGAATCAACAGCATTTTTTCTCAGTGTACACCATGTACAAATATATATAACAAGTGTACACATATCATAGAATTGGAAAGGAAAGGTAAAATGTAACAAAAAGTGATTTCAAAATCACTCAGCGAAAGTAAAACATTCCTCAATGTGCACATAAGCAAGTGGCATGATCCATATACAACGAATAATGTTTTAAAACATTTGAAATATGCAGTCCTGTATAATTTAAAACATTACTCCAAATATTAATATAAATTGTGTGTGTGTGTGTGTGTGTGTGTGTGTGCGCGCGCGCGCGCGTGTGTGCGTGTGTGTGGTGAGGTAGGGGTGTATGTATATTCAAGCATACAAATTTATTAAATTAACTACGTCTAATTTGCTGTGAATCATTCGTAACATGTATTAACATACACTGTTAGAAATTTCTTAATGAATTTTAATTAACATGTAAAGGAAGCATGTGGTTATGCACGAAATTAAATGTAATGAATGATGTAAATAAAAACTAAATTACAGTAGTCTTAAATGTGATGAACGTGTGTATTGAAATTAATGAACACATTATTATAGAAATTAATTTACACGTTAATGAAAAGTGACGAGATCTGTAACTGAAAAGTAATTTACGTTAATGACATGTAAGAAACATAAACGTATTAAACGTTAAGCGTTAATAGTATTAGGCTTAATTAAAATATTATTAATATTCGTACATGTAAAAGTATATTAAATTTCAATACGCTTAACTTTTAAGTTAAGCGTATTGAAATTGAATGTACTACAAACTTAAATTTCATTAATATGTACATTAATAGTTATTTCAATTACGATTAATTAAATGTCATTTATATTCGTAAATGAAAAGTATATTAAATTTCATTACACTTAATTTTTCAGTTACTGTAAACTTAAATCTCATTAACATGTGCATTAATAGTCTTTTCAGTTACAGAGAAATTAAACTTCATTCACCAATGTACATTAAAAGATGAAATTTAAGAACATTTCTAACAGTGTATTTCATAAAATTAGATATTTAACATTTTTTATCTGAGCTTTTTTTTTATTTAAGTCAAATGTTGCACTTTAATTATTAATCTTAATTTTAATTTAAAATTAAATGTGCATTTTGTGGAATAAGGATAAGGGAAAGGTGATATGTTTTACTAGAGTAGTGGTAAGTCTTCATGGTTTATAAGACCAACATAATGCTTAAAGTCTCAGTCTTTCGCTTTCTCTGCCACGTTGAACTGCTCGATCGCGCAACAGCATTTCGATACCACGTGTACCTGTGATTCCGTTCTATCTTTTCGTCAAGATATTTTTGTATCAGAGTCATAATGCAGTGTAACACTTTTGCTGGAGAAAGGAAATTAATCGACATCTATTATTGCGCCGTAATGATCTTTCTTTCATAGGTTGTATACATACATAAGACATACATGCATATATTGTATATGAATATTAATATTGATAATTAGTATAAATGATAAAGCACAATTATGCAACTAGTCAATGTACATATTGACTAGTTGCATATATAATCATGTTTTATCATTTATATACCGATTATCAGTTGTATATCGATTTCAAATTCTACACGATTCTGTTAACCAAAACACCAAGCAAGTTTATTTTTCTAAAACTTATTACGTGTTTGCATTTAAACCAGTGTTCCAAATTAAAACTTAAAAATTACGTATAAAGTGGAAATGTTCAGTATCCCTCAATACATATGTTTTTAATTACAAAAAAACTTGTTAAAATTTTTAATTATATTTTTTTTAATTACACATCCGCTTTGGTCAAAATCACAGAAGTCTGAAATGTTATTTATTATCTATATATAGTACACTATATTAAATAAAATAAATATACAAATAACAAAGATATAAACATAAAAATATACTGTTAAAATATTTCGCGCAATTATTACTAGTCGATCGCAAATATTAATATTATTTTAGGATAATTTATGTGGGAAAGACAAATATGGATGCATAATACTTGAAGTTACGAAGTCGTCTAATATCCACGGATCCTTTGATTAATTTGAAATTGATCTTTTCATATATATATATACATATATATATATATATATAGTTTTTAGTAAATATTTCTTAAACAAAAGGTAAAAATACAGCTTCAAAAACATAAATATAAAGTAAAAAGTGTCTTCTTATATATACAATATATATATATATATATAGTTTTTAGTAAATATTTCTTAAACAAAAGGTAAAAATACAGCTTCAAAAACATAAATATAAAGTAAAAAGTGTCTTCTATCAAATAGTATAAGCAATTTTTATAATACTGTTTGCAATTTTGCAATAATTAAGTTTTCCGTAAGTTATGCAAAAATGAGCGTCTGATAAAATGGGCTTCAAAACTGGCATAATACACTGTTAGAAATGTTCTTAAATTTCATTAACTTTTAATGTACATTAGTGAATGAAGTTTAATTTCTCTGTAACTGAAAGGACTATTAATGCACATGTTA